GTGCGTATGTATAAAGTTTTAGATATAAATTTGTTCAACTAAGACGAGCAGACATCGCCCTTCAAATAAAATACACCGTGAATAAGAAATCTGGTAACATACTTTAAGGCACGTAGCTTCGGAAACATCGGAAACGATCGCTAAATTTGAAATATCACTAACCGTAAAATTTACACAGATTGAACTATTTAAACAACTTTTTACTAAGGTGGCGTATAATTATCCGTTTATTTGAGGGAAATGTAGTTGTGTTTCCTTTAAACTCACTTTTTTAACATACATGTTTTGGTATGAAAAAATAGTATCTCACCTTATTGGCGAGGACAAATCACATGAGCCAATGGGCTCGAACAAAGGTGAAAAAGAGCTAAATGTGAAAAAGCTCATTTAAAAAAATTTCGTTCTTGAGGGGAACGTTAAACGGAGGGGCATCGCAGGGGTCATCAGAGTCATTACCAAAATGCGAAAGATGCGTCGTAAATTTATGAATTTGGAAAGACAATGGAAAATCATACAGCCCATTATTTATCTCTTTTTGTATATAAGCCGAATACCCGTAATTCAACTGATGAACTGATCCCAGCCTTAAGTTTGAATTAATAGTTAAAAGTAATATGTGCTTATGGAGTTGATGCATGGTGGAAACCTGTTATTTCTAGGCCATGTTAAACCTGATTCTGTATCAGTATATTTGAGGGAAATTCGGATGAGTTAAATTTAAATTCCCTTTTTGTACATGCGTGTTGTGATATCACAATGGAGGTATCTCAGCGTATTGGCTAGGCAAATTGAGATGAATTGATGGGCTGTAACATATTTAAAAACGAGCAGACAGTAAGAATACCTCCTTGGGTTTGTTTCGCAGAAAAAACTGTTGCTCCTGTTGAAAAGCTCTAGAGGGCATGGAGCACGGAAAAGGTCACCACGATCATCGCCGCAGTGCGGAAGGTAAAGTAAGATTTTCCGTTAATGATTGCGCATCCTCCGACAATTTTGCGGAAACAGAAATATACTCCAAGATCGTCGAAAGTCCGCTGCGGGTCGAAGAAACGGAAAACCCTATGGGAACACCTGGACTATGGCTGCAATGTTTGACTGCTGCGATCGTTGTGGGGTCCTCATGGGCATAGATAATCAGGTATACAAAGTGGCAGAGGTCTTCGCATGGAGATGATGCTGAAAGAGCGTGAACAATAGTTCGTACATTAATTCAATATTAAATGCACAAAATTACTAGACTGTAGCTAGTAGCATTAATGTATGACGTTTTCGCCAAATTATCCATAGGTCTGAACATCTGAGATCGGACGGAGTTGAACAGTGTCTACGGTAAAAATTTATCCCATAAACAAATGCTATTAGAATATGGCAACTATTATTCTAATTCTAAATTTTCGGCATCGATTTTACAGCGGTCTGTTGGCCTTCGCGCACCCTATTTGGAAGCGTAACGTGCTGTATGTGTTCAGAAGTAAACCGGCAAAGGCCAGACCGGAGACTTGTTCGTAGGCCGAGCTTTTTGAGGTACGGTAAAGTCAGGCACAATCAGGATATCCGACCAGGTAGCAAGCTTTTCAAGCTTCCCTGGCATGGAGGCATCAGCAATGGGTACTCTTCTCGTTGGTTGGTAGAATGAGGACTACTACTTCACTTTTCTCGTATGTTAGTAGGTCGCCTACTTGGCGCCCATCCCTGCCTTTTCCAAACAGTTGTTAGCCCATCGTAGTTACGTCGCCGTCGTGCATATTTTGAGACAATTAGGTTTCGGTTGAGTAAATTATATCTGAAAATAGTTCACAGAGATGGATCCTCACTTCATAGAGATTTGATAACGTGCTCTGCGCATTGCTGTACATGAACGTAAGTTTGCGGTTTGTTAGGGAGGTGTTACGATCGGGCTCGAACTTCCCTTTACTGGGTTGACTGCGCGGACAGTGGGCGCTTGATCACTTGGTTGTTGTACATAGCTGGAATTCGGCCCCTATCGCTCAGCTTCTGTCTCTGTTCGGTAACATGTTTATGACGTCTTTTCGCTCCGCAGGTGCGCAGTTCTGTTGATTGTTGCCGCAATGAGTAGCAAAACGGGTTGGTCAAGGGTTTCTTGGGGATTTCACTTGCCGCAGTAAGTGCGATGGATCTAATTTGTCTCACGACATTATTTTGGCATAAAAGTTTATCAGGATACCCGTCCGTTTGAAGCAGGTTCTGAATACTCCTAATAACATTCTCTCCACTGTCTGCCAAAACCTTTTTTCAGACATGCTATTGACTCTATTGTGGATCTATTCGAAGGGATAAGAATCTGCTGAAGTTCGTCGTGTCCAAACTTTCTATCGATAAATGCTCCTTAGTTGCTACCTTCAGATCTTTGGCAGAGAAGGGTGTCTAAGAAAGAAAGCGAACTGACCGCGTCTACAACCAACGTAATATGTATGTATGGATGTATGTGCTTAATTAATAATATTTAGGGGTGATTTCTATTATTGCGATTGCAAAAAGGTTTTCGGCGTAATGACCGTTGTATTTTGGTGTTATGTCCGCGACTGATACTTACAATTAACACGAACTGCGAGCTTGCTTAATTGTTGTCGAGGGCAGGCAGCCGACCACGAGAATTAGTGTTTTCACACAAAGTGAGACACTCACAAAAAGGTTGCATGTATTGATCCGGTTAACTTGATAAGAAGGCCAAACGTGTCACGGATTTGCACTCAGCTAACCCAAAAACCAGTAAATCAGGACATATTGTGAAGTCGGAATTTAAGAAGATTTTTGGCAGGCAGGATTAGTGAGGCCAATCATTTTTTACAACTAAAAAATTACT